CTGCCTTTGAGAGACAATAGTTCTGAGCTGACTCTTACCTGAGCGCCATCTTGTAGTTGAAAGTGGTGAGTAGTAGAAGAGGAGCTTTCCGGGGAGTGCTGAGCACCAGAGAATGCTCTCCCACCTCTGGATAGGAGGTGTCTGCAGGAGCAGGAGTGGAACCTGATGACCAAGAGAGGCTTATCAAGATGCTGGGCAGGCCCTGTGACTTCCTGCACAAGGAGCACTGGCAAATGAGAATCTGGAGATGTGAGACAAGGACCTCACGAGATGTTTCTCACTTTTTCTGAGTCCAGTGATTTATCTCTCCCCCCATTTTATCTCATCTGGTCCCCCTCCCTGTGATGAATGTTTAAATTGGAATTTGTGACTGCCCATAGTGATCCTGTGCAAGAAGCTCACCCACTAAGCAAACTCTTCCATAGCTAAAGAAGAGTTTGTTTGACATTCAGGGTCTTGCCTGGCCTGACTCATCTGATCTGTTTCCAATTACTTCCAGAAGTAATATATGCATAATATTTTATTTCAGAGGACACCATAGTGTGCAAAGTGAAATGTAAAGTCCTTCCTAATCTCATTCCTCAATGTTTACAGTTTCCATTATTACTATTTTGTTATTTTATAACTTTTCATTATAAAGCTACATTTCTCTTTTTGATTTATCAACATCAACAACTGCGTATACTGCATTCCTTTCTAAAATATAAGAAAATAGTGGGAAAGAATGGGATGGGAGTAAGTGGAAGCTACACTGACATGCTCCCAGGACCAAACTGGAATTACAACTAAAATGAAAAAACAACATTACCCTGAATAATCAAGTGAAGACTAGATGGAGAGATCCCTGATAACCAAGGATGGAAAGTGGAGACTGCATACAGACTGGTAAAAAGGGCAGAGTCAGGAAAGGGCAGGCCAGGCTCCCACAGACAGAAGCTCGATTTCTAGAAAGGTTTCTCAGCTGTGGGGTGTTGCCACTGAGAACTCCTCCCCAAGCTGCGGCCCCCAGCAGAGAGGACCTCAACTGAGAAAGATGTTCAGGTAACATCTGGCTGTGTAAAATGGCAGGGTTGTTGTCTGCCAGGGAGAGATGACTGGAAATGCAGTCACCCTCTTAAAGGGACAATGCACAAAATTTTGTTTGTAGCCATTCACCTTGTGCTCTGGCAGAGGGAGGACAGAATGTATTGGAGCTGTGTGAGCAGAATCCAGGGTTAGGGATTTTGAGTTTAGAGCTTGGAAGGCAGACACCCTGTTTCCTGTGTTGAGTCATTCCCTCACACTGCAGAGGTCATCTCTCTCAGGCAGACCTTTGCTATCCAGGTAGTTATTGCCTGGCTGGAAAGAGAGTTGACCCCCCTACTGGAAAACCCCTCACTCCATGGTGTGGAGTTTCTGAGGCCCATTAAGAGACTGAGAATAGCAATTAGCCTCCAGATAGAAGCACTGAGGGAAAACCACTCACCACTCTGTGGATATTGCCTGAGGGCTACTCAAGACTTAATCCAATCAGGGTGCAAGCAGAGGCAGGTTTCTGGAGGCCTTGAGTCTTTGCCTGATCTAATTAGTCAGAAACACCATTTGGCACTGTCCTGCACTAGTGATTGGGAGGCATAGCTGATTTACCTAGTGCATAGTCACAAATCCAAATAGACAGCCAAAATAGGGAGACAAAAAACCAGCTCCCAAATGAAAGAACAAGAGAATTCTTCAGAAGAAGAGATAAATGAAAAGGAGATAAGAAATTTATCTGATATGGAGTTCAGAATAATGATGATAAAGATGCTCAACAGCATGAAAAATATATAGTATCTATGAAAAAAGAACAGTCAGAAATAAAGAATGACATAGCACAAAAGAGAACACATTGGAAGGAATACACAGCAGATTAGGGGAAGCTGAGGATATAAAACCTGTAAGGAACTCATACTACTTAGCAAAAGGAAGACAAACAATCCTAAGAAAAAGTGGTCAAGGGACCTAAATAGACACATCTCCAAAGTGGACATACAGATAGCCAAGAGACATATGAAAAAATGCTCAAAGTCACTGTTCATGGGAGAGATGCAAATTAAAATGACAGTGAGGTATTCCCTCATATCTGTCAGAATGGCCACCATCAATAAAGCAACAAATGACAAGTGCTGACAAGGATGTGGAGAGATCTAGGTCTTTTATGCTTCACAGACATTGTTTTCAACCCTGAATTGTTGTTAATAAGCTCAGGTTTCACACATTACCTTGCTGTTCTATGAGCATGTTTGACACTGCTGGTGGGAATGCAGACTGGTGCAGCCATTATGGAAAACAGTGTGGAGTTTCCTCAATAAATTAAATATGGAATTTCCATTTGACCCAGTGATCCACTTTTAGGAATATATCTTAAGAAACTCAAAACACCAATCAGAAAGAATGTATGCACCCCAATGTTCATATAAGCACAATTTATAATAGCTAAGATGTGGAAATAGCCAGTGTCCATTAGTAGATGAGTGGATGAAAAGCTCTGGTACATTTATACCATGGTATACTATGCAGCAGTAAAATAGAAGGATCTCTTACCTTTTGAGACAGCATGGAGGAACCTGCAGAGTATCATGCTATGTGAAATAAGTCAGTCAGAGAAAGACATGTATCATATAATTGCACTCAAAATGTGGAATCTAAGTAACAAAATAAACTGATGATGAGTGTGTCCAGAGACATGGAAGCATGGAACAGAGTGTAGAATCTCTGAGGGAAGGCGGGGGAAGGTGTGTGTACATGGGAGGTAATCAACCAAAGACCTTGTATGCCTAACCCATGGACACAAACAATAAGGTGGTGAAGGCCTTGGGGGTGGGGGATTGTAGGAGGGTGCGGGGATGGCTGGACGCGGTCAATGGGGGAAAAAAGGGAACATTTGTAGTACTTTCAACAATAAAACTAAAAAAAATGTATCCATATTGATGCATCAATTTCAATAAATGTGCCACATTAATGGAAGATGTTAGTAATAAGAGAAAGTGTGTGGGGAATTAGAAATGGGGGGGGGGTTATAGAAATCTTCTGTACTATTTTTAGTAAAAAGTGGTTTAAATTTTAAAATCTATTAAAATGAATAAGCAAACCAGCAACTGAATAAATATTTACAATGCACATAACTAACCAAAGCTGTATTTGACATATATCAAAACTCCTATAAATAAATAATGAAAAAGAGCAACACTTAATAAAAATTGGCAAAACTGAAAAAGACACTTCAAGAAATACAAGTAACCTGGAAACTAAAGAGAAAATAAAGATATGGGACTACATCAAAATAAAAAGCTTCAGCACAGCCAAAGAAACCATCAACAAAACAACAAGAAAGCCCACTGCATGGGAGAACATATTTGCCATGTTATCACTGATAAGGGTTTAATCTCCAACATTTATAGGGAACTCATATAACTCAACAAAAGGAAGATAAGCAATCCAATCAAAAAATGGGCAAAGGACCTAAATAGACACTTTTCAAAAGAGGACATTCAGAAAGCTAAGAGACATATGAAAACATGCTCAAAGTCACTAATCATCTGAGAGATGCAAATCAAAACAACAATAAGTTACCATCTCACACCTGTCAGAATGGCTGTCATCAACAAATCAACAATCGACAAGTTCTGGAGAGGATTCGGAGAAAAGGGAACACTGGTGAACTGCTGGTGGGAATTCAGACTGGTGCAGCCACTGTGGAAGACAGTATGGAGTTTCCTCAAAAAGTTAAAAATGGAACTCCCATTTGACCCAGTGATCCCACTTCTAGGAATATATCCCAAGAAAATGAAAGGATATATGCATCCCTATGTTCATAGCAGCACAATTTACCATAGCTAAGATTTGGAAACAGCCTAAGTGCCCATCAGCAGATGAATGGATTAGAAAACTGTGGTTCATCTACACAATGGAATACTACGCTGCTGTAAAAAAGAAGGAATTCTTACCATTTGCAACCCCTTGGATGGAACTGGAGAGCATTATGCTAAGTGAAATAAGCCAGTCAATGAAGGAAAAATACCACATGATCTCACTAATTTATGGTTAATAAAGACCATTATAAACTGATGAACAAAAATAGATACAGAGGCAGAGCAACATCGAACAGACTGTCAAATTACAGAGTGAAGGCCGGGGAGGGTTTGGGGGAGGCGGTAAGAGATCAACCGAAGGACTTGTATGCATGCATATAAGCATAACCAATGGACACAAGACACTGGGGGGTAGGGGAGGCGGGGTGAATGTCAAGGGGGAAAAAAGGAGATATATGTAATATTCTTTGTAATACTTTAATCAATAAAACAAAATTAAATGAAAAAGAAATACAAGTATCCAATAAGTTTATGAAAGGTTGCTCATGCTTGCAAAGGTTGAAAAATGGTGAAAACAATGTACTTAAAGAGGGTGACTCAAATCTGGCAAGGGATTTAGCAGAGACTTGACTTGAAAATCACCATATGTTCATTCATTAATTCACTTATTCAATCCACATTTATTATGCTAAAGTGCTAGTCCAAGGCCTGCCAAAGTCATCAAGGACTGCTCACTGGGGCTTGATTGAACTTTAATTCATTTAATTTACAGAAACATTGTAGAAGAATGACCACAAAAACTTGTCAAAAATGTAATGTTCATGTAGTTTCTATCAAGTTCAGTGATGAAAGAAATTTAGACTTTTCCTGCACTTCACTCATCTTCTGCTGTAGGTGGGATTCTTCAAACGTGAGAGAAGTCCTGGACCCCAGAGATGGCAAAGGTCCCATGGGGATGGGGTGAAGGCCTTGTGTGAGGCAGTCCTGGGACATTGTACTCTGTGTTTGTTTGACAGGCACTGGCTCACTTCAACCTCAAGAGCTGGATTATTATGTTAATAGTTTTAATTCTGGGGCCCAGAGGGCAAACACAGTAAGAAAACCAACCAAATGAGAGGGACAAAGCTGGCTTTCAAAGTCACATCTGTCTGAACAAAGCAAGACTCTGAATCAGGACACCAGATTTCCTGACATGGCCAGGGTTCCCCCAGGAAGGCTCTCTCCAGGTTCATCCACCTCAGGAGTGTCCTGTAGAGCCCTCTGGAGAACCAGCCTCAGGGTGTGTCTCCGCTTCCACCATCGCTGCCTGTAGGAGCCAACGAAGAAGTAAATGATGGGGTTGGCACAGCTGTTGACACAGGACAGGAGAACTGCGGCCAAGAAATGAGGAACGAAGACATCCGAATAGTTTTGAAACCAGATTAAGAGGAACCAGTGGATGACGAAGGGCAGGCTGGAGAGGAAGACCAGCCCTGTAAGCATGATGGTTGCATAGAGCCTTGTCAAGGGAACCCGGTTGGAGCCACACAGCTGTCTGGTCATCAGGGCCAGTCTGGACCCATAGAGAAGCACAAACAGCAAAATCAGCCAGGCTGCAGTGATGAAATCCCACACTCGGCACCAAACACGGTGTATATTCCTTACCAGGTAGCCACAGTAGTTCCCTTCCAGGATGCTCAGCAGCAGGGACAGGGCCCAGAGCAGAGCACACATTATGGCAGACATGTGCCTGATGCGGCGGCAGCGGTACCAGATGGGCCACAGGAGAGACAGGCAGCGCTCCGTGCTGATAGCGCTGAGAAGGCTCAGGCCTGAGATGTAGGCAAAGACTATCACAGGGACGACAAATCTGCTGATTCCTCTAAGGACAAAATTGAATTCAAAAAGTGATCTTAGGGTACCTATACATAGGCTGCAGAGGAAGAGGAAGTCAGCACCCGCCAGGTTGAGGATATAGACAGAGAAGGCGTTCCTGTGCATGCGGAAGCCCAGCAGCCAGAGCACCACCGCGTTGCCTGCCACCCCAACCAGGGCCACGATGCCTGTCAGTAAGTGCAGGATTAACTTTGTATAATGTTGATAAATGGCCTGATCACTTCCATTGATAGTTGTGAGGTTGGTCTCCCAGGCTGTGACATTCATATCTGTGCTCAGAAATGCTTCAGTTGTGTGCCTGGTAACAAAACAAGACTTGAGCACCTGCTCTATGACCAGTGACCCTCATGGCCACCCAGTCTGTGGCGAATGGAGGCTTCCAGAGATTAAGATTCTTCCTGAACCACACAGTCTTGGAGTCCTGGATCCTGAATTTAAACCCAGTTCTCTCTGAATCTTAGAGCCTGGGCTGTTTCTACTGCAACATGGACCCTCTATGTCCAACCTCTGCAATGACCATAGAGCCCATGACAGGTGCCCTGGAGGCAGGAGGAGAAGAGTCTGCACAGGTCCTGTGGATGACAGCAGGGCTCTGAGTTCCCCAGTACTTGTGCTCTGGGAGAGTGGCTTTGTTTGACAGCAGGCTGTCAGAAGCCCCAGGGCAATCTCAGTGACTGAGAGTGGTCTACCCAGGAGGGAGAAAGGAGGTTATGACTTAAGCTCATGAAGGGAATGAGACCCCTTGTTAGGACAGAGTGAGGACACCCAAAGCTCTTGCATTAGAAATGTCCCAGTGTGTCATCTCTATGAGGATAGACAGTGATTACTCTTCCCATTGTTGTTTCCCCAGGGCCCAAGTGTGTGGGTACACAATGGGGCTGTCAATCAAATTTTAGTCCACAGATGAATGAATGAATGAATGAGGGGCTCAATGAGGAAGAAAATTTGGATTTAGTATAATATAGAATTTTTTAAATGAAGAATTTGAAATGTAAAAGAGAAGTCAGCACTTTTAAATCCATCACCAAAAAAACATATGTAACAAAAAGAAAATTCCATTTCTAATTATTCATTCTGTGCAAAGCTCTTGTGTGTTTGAAATAATTTTTTTATGCCTGCAGACACCTCCTATTCAGCTGGGAGAGGATTCAGGACTTAATTAAATTTTTCTGCATTTTGGAGGAGAAAGAAGCCTATTTATGAATGAGATAGAGGTGGCCAAGGGTTTTAATAGAGCTGGTTGAGATAAAAATAGCCAAGATTTGGAAACAACTTAAATGCCCATCAACGGATGAGTGGATTAGAAAACTATGGTACATCTACACAATGGAATACTATGCTGCTATAAAAAAGAAGGAATTCTTACCATTTGCAGCAGCATGGATGAATCTGGAGAGCATTATGCTAAGTGAAATAAGCCAGGAAGTGAAAGAAAAACACCACATGATCTCACTCATTTATGGATAATAAAGAACTTTATAACCTGATGAACAAAAAGATATATACAGAGGCAGAGAAGCGTGGAACAGACTGTCAAATTACAGTCGGAAGGCTGGGGAGTGTTTGGGGGCTGGGGGAGGTAAGAGATCAACCGGAGGACTTGTATGAATGCATATAAGCATAACCAATGGACACAAGACACTGGGGGGTGGGGTGAGGGCATGTGCCGGGGGGTAGGGGAGGTCAGGGGAAGGTCAATGGGGGGGGGGAAGGAGACATATGTACTACTATCTGTAATACTTTAAACAATAAAGTAAAATAAAAAGAAGAAAGAAAAAAATTGGGTTATTAAGTGCTTTTCTGATGATATGTGTAATAGAAAAGTCATTTATTGCCACTCAATGTGGTTTGGAGTAGAGGTATCTTTGCAGATCAAAGCTTTTGTATAAGAGAATTCTCGTGGTGGTGGTGAAGTTAAGAAGTGCTTACTTCTATTTTACAAAGGGTTTTGGATGAAAAGAGAGAAGCTCTTGCAGAATTTAGGTGAGAAACATACACCAACTCACACATAGGTGAACAGTAGCAGCTGATGAGTGCTTACATGGTATTACCTCTTTTATTCCTCAAATAGCCCTATGAGGCCAGTACTATGCCTATACCCATCTGGCATATGGGAAAAGACAAGCACAAGGAGGTTGAATGACATGCTCCAGTTCTCATGTGCACAAGTGGAAGGGCCTGGATCTGATCCCACAGGTCTGTGTCAGAGTGTTCGCCCTTCCCCTGCCCTGCAGCCCCACTACCAGGTGGTGTGTCCGTACACATGGGGGGTGGTGGGCAGGAAGCAAGTAACTCTCAGGGACAAATCTCAAATGGCAACTCACTAGTGTGTTTTATTAAACTAGACTAGGCAAATTTCACAAATAACAAGGGAGTGAAGCTTATCCAGTGTAGATGAAGGGGGTGGAATCCAGCTGGAAAAAGATCAGAGATTCCAGGAGCTCCTTCTTCCATCTGGACAGACCTAATCAGTGGAGTCTTGCCTGGTTCAGCCAGCACAGACTCACCCAGTAGAATCTAACCCGCTACCCTTCAGTCTGTGGGCTGCTGCTCTAACCACTGAGTCAAACCTACTAGGGTTTGTCTGCCTTTTTAAACTCAAAACTTAATAATGACGACTAGATCTGTCTGGGTTTTGTCTTTTTTTCTTGTTCCCTATTGTGTCCTCAGCATCGAGTACATGTGCCTTAGAGACCATCTGCTATAATATCATCTTTAACACTGGAAGAAGCGAGGCTGAAAGAGCCAAAGGTTTTTCCTGAGATCACAGGGTGAACAGCAGGTCCAATGCCAGCCCTGGCCTCCTGGATCCCAGCCTGAGGCTTTCCCACTGTTCTCTGCCTCATTGTGGGATCAGCACCTGAGCAAAATCTTCATGTGAGCTCAGAACATGAGAGAGCTTCAGGGGTGAGGAAAATGCTAGTTGGTCTAAATATCCATTTCCTTCTCTCTCACATAATAGTTCTGAGAGTTCTGGATGAGAAAATGGTTTCTAATCCCAATTTCCATTCCCATTTGATGGCACCATGTGACCAGGTGGTAGCCAATGGGAGGTGAGCACAAGTGATGTAACCAATTTTAGGTTGTGCCTTTTCTTCCCCTCTTCTCTGATTGGAATGCTGATGACTTCAGGAGCCCTGCATGAGAATGAAGTCACCTTTCTAGGGCTGGGGAGCAGTGATTTGAAAGAGCACAGGTGTTTGATGCCTTGAAATCACCAGTCAAGTTCTAGTAAGCTCTCTTGCTTTTCTTCTCTAGGGTTACCAAAATCATAAATTTAAATTCTTAAAAATATTTGTATACAACCACCTTGAAAAATAATGTATGTTCAATCCTCAAGGCATTTATGATGATAGAGATATTATTTCAAAGAAGTTTCACCCAGTATGGGGGTGCCAACAGATCAAATAAATGAGATGTAATAACAAATTGATCTAATCAGAGTGAGAGAAAAAAAGTCCTAAGAAAAAGAACTAAGAAGAGGCTATAAGAAAAATGTGTTCCCTTCATTTGATGTCGAATTTCATTTCCAGCTTCTCTACCCTCTTCTGGGCTCCTTTTCCCTCTGGCTCCTGGTTGTTCTCAGGAAAGGGTGACACTGACAGCTGATTGGAGGGCAGGAGAAGGGTGATTGACGTATTAACTCTCTACCTCTCTGCTGTTAGGCTGTGAGTTGGCGGTGTTACTCTAATTAAGGATACAGCCCCTGTCTGTGGACATTTTTTTAGTTCATAGTGACAACCATTGCTACAGCCACAGCCACAGGCCTCCCCATGTTCTGGCAACTTATCTTTCCCTTTACTCTTAAGGATGCCCAATTCAATAGCTCCCTATTATGAATTATCTTCAGGGGCCTCTGTGTCCTCTAATGATTTTCCTTAGTCCTGCTCACTCTTCATACACAGTCTTTTTATTACAATCTCTTAAACTGTTCTATTTTTTTGTGCCTTGTGTTTATTACTGGAACAAGAAAGATAGATGCATATAACAAACAAATAAACAAACTCATTGAACAGCAAGGTAATGTGTGAAACCTGAGGTTATTAACAAAAATCCAAGTTTGAAAACAATGTCTGTGAAGCAGAAAGGACCTGGGTCCCTCACAGCCTAAGCTACCAGCACCCAAAGCTTCCCTGATGGAGCTTCATGTCTCTGGACTCTCCTTCATGGGTGCCCATGGTTCCTACATGCTCCCCCTCAAGATTCAGTCGTGACCATGAAAACAAAGATAGGTCTGAACTGACTCTTACCTGAGCCCCATCTTCTAGTTGAAGGTGGTGAGTAGAAGAAGAGGAGCTTTCCACAGAGTGCCAAACACCAGAGAATGCTCTCCTACCCTTGGATAGGAGGTGTCTGCAGGAGCAGGAGTGGAACCTGATAACCAAGAGAGGCTTATTAAGATGCTGGGCAGGCTCTGTGACTTCCTGCACAAGGAGCACTGGCAAATGAGATTCTGGAGATGTGAGACAAGGGCCTCAAGAGGTGCTTCTCACTTGCCCTAAGGTCAATGACTTATCTCTTCCTCTCCCTATCTTACCCCATCTGGTCCCACTTCACTGAGGATTGGCTGAACTGGAGCCTTTCACTGCCCACTGTGGGCCTGTGCAGGCAGCCCACCCAACAGGCAACGTCAGCTTGCATAGCTAAAGAAGAGTTTGCTTGGCATGCAGGGCTTTGCATGGTCTGGCTCATCTGATCTATTTCCATTTACTCCCAGGAATAATATATGCACATTAATTTATTTCAGAGGACACATGAGTATACAAAATAAAAATGTAAACTCAATCACCAATAGCAACCGATGTTTACAGTTTCTATTTTAACTCCTTTACAACTTATTTTATAGCTTTGTGAAATGAAACCTCATTTCTTGTTGTGACTTATCGATATCAACAACTGTGTATACTGTGTTCTCTTTTAACAGATAAAGAATTTAGAACATCACATGAACTACTTGTCACCTCTCTTTCTTCTCACGACATTTGATAGCTAGATTTCTTTCACATGATGTGGAACAACCAGTGTTTTCAGCTTTAGCTCCTATGATTCCTTTCATGTGCCCATGCCGCAGCCAAATTGAGTTACATGGCATTTCCTTAGAAAACTAACTATGAAGCATTTGAAACGATGTGAGAAACTTATTCACTCTTTTCTGAGTTTACCCAACTCTACTGTGTGCCTATACTGTGCCAGTTAGTGATCCAGGCAGAGAAGATGCTGTGGACAAATGCTACCAGAGGACCTTTCACAGGCCCAATGTCCTGGACTGTGCTTATCTAAGGATATCATTTTCCCTAAACCCAGGAAACCCAATGAGTTTAGAGGTAGGCCAACTCATTTACTTAAGCTTTTACCCTGTAGAATGCCCTCAACCACAGCAATTACCATAAATCTAAAGGGCCTATAGTCTGAGAAAAACATTGGAAATCTTCTTTTTCTGTCCAATCAGTAGAACAATTTCTGAATGACTATTTATTGCTTTGAACAGGGATTCTATTTAAAAACTTATTAAATATTACCTCAGAAATCAATAATATATTAGAGGCATCACATGTATTAACTGCTGATATTTATGAAATATCTATATATATAAAGAGCCAGGGGCGACTGAACACACTAAGTGGGGTGACAAGGCTGGTAGGAGAGTTAGTGAGGGACAACCAAACAACTGAGCAGCAGGCTGCATGGGGCAACCAGGCTGGCAGAGAGGGGCTATTGACGGCGCCCAGTCCGGCAGGGAGGGCAGTAAGGGGTTACCATGGTTGTGGGGGGGCCAGTTAGGGGTGACCAGACCGGCGGGGGGGTGCAGTTAGGAGTAATCAGGCTGGCAGGGGGGCCAGTAAGGGTGATCAGGTAGGTTGGCAGGTGAGCAGTTAGGAGCCCGTGGTCCTGGATTGTGAGAGGGATGTCCAACTGCCGGCAGTTGGACATCTCCTGAGGGGTCCCAGATTGGAGAGAATGCAGGCTGGGCTTAGGAACCCTCACCCCCATGCATGAATTTTGTGCACTGGGCCTCTAGTTTAGTCCTATTTGGCACCTGACTGAGTCCTTTTCATCTGTTTTCTAATTTATCCCCCACCATGAGCAGGTGATTTCACTGCATTTTACAATGAATGAACTGAGGCTTGGAGATGAGAGCTGCAGAACCAGGACTTCAAACCTGGATTTGTCTGATTCGAACAGGGATTCTTTCTGTTGCAATGAAGATTGTAAAGAAAAAGCATTCAATAAATAAATTCAGAAGATTACATGAGAAATATATTGGTAATGCCAAGAACGATGGAGAGGTATAATGTTGGGACTAATGCTTTCTCTGAGAAAAACTAGAATAGCCAGATTAAAAACAATCTATTTGAAGAGAGTGGGGAATCACTGAAGCATTTTGGGGCTGAGTCTGGGAGAAGACTAGATACTTTCCAAGCCTGGCAGGGCAGAATTGAGTCTCAAAGTTACTTCAAACTGATCAGGACAGAGGATCTCATCACTGCCCCAGACTTCTTCCCGACATGGCCAGGGATTCCCCAGGAAGGCTTTCTCCAGGTTCATCCACCTCAGGAGTGTCCCGCAGAGCCCTCTGGAGAATCAGCCTCAGGGTGTGTCTCTGCTTCCACCATCGCTGCCTAAAGGAGCCAACGAAGAAGTAAATGATGGGGTTGGCACAGCCGTTAATACAGGACAGAAGTACTACCATCATGGAAACATGAAAGAGGGCACTAGATTCATTTGGAAACCAGACTATGAGAAACCAGTGGATGCCGAAGAGCAGACCGCAGAGGAGAAAGACCAGCACCTGATCATGACAGTCATGTAGAGCCTGGTGAGCGGCACCCAGTGGGAGCCACACAGCAGTCTGGTCATCAGGGCCAAACTAGAGCCAGAGAGAAGCACAAATAACAAAATCAGCCACGCAGCAGCGATGAAATCCAACACTGGGCACCAAACATGTTGTACATTCCAACTAAGGAAGGAGCAGTAGTTCCCTTCCAGCATGCTCAGCAGCAGGGACAGGGCCCAGAGCAGAGCACACATGACGGTGGACATGTGTCTGGGGCGGCGGCAGCGGTACCAGATGGGCCACAGGACAGACATGCAGCGCTCCGTGCTGATGGTGCTGAGAAGGTTCAGACCTGAGATGTAGGCAAAGATTGACACAGGCCAGAGAAATCTGCGAATTACTCTAACGACAAAATCAAAGTTGAAAACTAAAACTAAATCGCTAGCAGAGGAAGAGGAAGTCAGCCCCCGCCAGGTTGAGGATGTAGGCACAGAAGGCGTTCCTGCCCATGCGGAAGCCCAGCAGCCAGAGCACCACTGCGTTCCCTGCCAGCCACACCTGGGCCACGATGATTGTCAGGAATTGCAGGATTATGAACTCTGTATAATATTTTTTTATTTATTATTATTTTTTTATTGCTTAAAGTATTACAAAGGGTATTACATATGTGTCCTCCCCCCCCCCCCCGCCCTTGACAATTCCCTGGCCTCCCCTACCCCCCAGTGTCTTATGTCCATTGGGGATGCTTATATGCATGCATACAAGTCCTTTGGTTGATCTCTTATCCCCCTCCCTCCTGCCCCCAACCCACCCTGGCCTTCCCGCTGCAGTTTGACAATCTGTTTGAGGCAGCTCTGCCTCTGTATCTATTATTGTTCAAAAGTTTATAATGGTCTCTATTATCCATGAATGAGTGAGATCATGTGGTATTTTTCCTTCATTGACTGGCTTATTTCACTTAGCATAATGCTCTCCAGTTCCATCCATGCCATTGCAAATGGTAAGAGTTCCTTCTTTTTTACAGCAGGATAGTATTCCATTGTGTAGATGTATCACAGTTTTCTAATCCATTCATCTACTGATGGGCACTTAGGCTGTTTCCAGATCTTAGCTATGGTGAATTGTGCTGCTGTGAACATAGGGATGCATATATCCTTTTGTTTTCTTGGGATATATTCCTAGAAGTGGGATCACAGGGTCAAATGGGAGTTCCATTTTTAGTTTTTTGAGGAAACTCCATACTGTCTTCCATAGTGGCTGCACCAGTCTGCATTCCCACCAGCAGTGTACCAGTGTTCCCTTTTCTCCACATCCTCTCCAGCACTTGTCGTTTGTTGATTTGTTGATGATAGCCAGTCTGACAGGTGTGAGATGGTACCTCATTGTTGTTTTGATTTGCATCTCTCAGATGATTAGTGACTTTGAGCATGTATTCATATGTCTCTTGGCTTTCTGAATGTCCTCTTTTGAAAGGTGTCTATTTAGATCCTTTGCCCATTTTTTGATTGGATTGTTTATCTTCTTTTTGTTAAGTTGTATGAGTTCCCTATAAATTTTGGAGATTAGGCCCTTATCAGATATGACGTTGACAAATATGTTTTCCCACGCAGTGGGCTTTCTTGTTGTTTTGTTGATGGTTTCTTCTGTTGTGTAGAAGCTTTTTATTTTGATATAGTCCCATTTGTTCATTTTCTCTTTAGTTTCAACTGCCCTAGGAGCTGTATCAGTGAAGAAATTGCTTCGGCATATGTCTGAGATTTTGTTGCCTTTGGATTCTTCTAGAATTTTTATGGTTTCCTGTCGTACATTTAAGTCCTTTATCCATTTTGAGTTTATTTTTGTGTATGGTGTAAGTTGGTGGTCTAGTTTCATTTTCTTGCATATATCTGTCCAATTTTCCCAACACCATTATTGAAGAGACTATCCTGGCTCCATTGTATGTTCTTGCCTCCTTTGTCAAATATTAATTGAGCATATTGGTTCGGGCCAATTTCTGGGCTCTCTATTCTATTCCATTGATCTATATGCCTGTTCTTGTGCCAGTACCAGGCAGTTTTGAGAACGGTGGCTTTGTAATACAGCTTGATATCTGGTATTGAGATCCCACCTACTGTATAATATTGATGAAAGGTCTGATCACTTCCATTGGTTGGTGTGAGGTTGGTCTCCCAGGCTGTGACATCATATCCGTGCTCAGAAACGCTGCAGTTGTGGGCCTGGAAATAAAACAAGACTTGAGCACTTGCTCTATGACCACTGACCCACATGGCCATCCTGTCTGTGGCGAATAGAGGCTTCCAGAGATTAAGATTCTTCCTGAACCACACGGTCTTGCAGTCCTGGATCCTGAATTTAAACCCACTTCTCTCTGAATCTTAGAGCCTGGGCTGTTTCTACTGCAACATGGACCCTCTATGTCCAACCTCTGGACTCACAATCCAGCCCATGACATGTGCCTTGGAGGCAGGAGGAGAAGAGTCTGCACAGGTCCTGTGGATGACAGCAGGTTCCTGAGTTCCCTAATACTTGTGCTCTGGGAGAGAGACTTTGTTTGACAGCAGGCTGTCAGAAGCCCCAGGGCAATCTCAGTGACTGAGAGTGGTCTACCCAGGAGGGAAAAAGGAGGTTATGACTTAGGCTCATGAAGGGAATGAGACCCCTGTTAGGACAGAGTGAGGAAACCCAAAGCTTTTGCATTAGAAATGTCTCAGTGTGTCATCTCTATGAGGATAGACAGTGATTACTCTTCCCATAGTTGTTTCCCCAGGGCCCAAGTGTGTGGGTACACAATGGGGCTGTCAATCAAGTTTTAATCCAGAGATGAATGAATGAACGAATGAGGGGCTCAATGAGGAAGAAAATTTGGATTTAATATAATATAAATTTTTTAAATGAAGAATTTTAAATGTACTAGTAAAACAGAAGTCAATTCTTGTCTGGTTCAGCCAGCGCAGGCTTCCCCAGGAGAATGTAACCTGCTACCCCTCAGTCTGTGGGTGCTGCTCTAACCACTGAGTCAAACCTGCTAGGCTCGTCTCCCTTTTTAAACTCAAAACTTAATAATGACGACTAGACCTGTCTGGGCTTTGTCTTTTTTTCTTGGCTGTTGTTCACTATTTATCCTCGGCTTTGAGCACATGTTCCTTAGAGACCATCTGTTATAATATCATCCTTTAACTCAGGAAGAAGCTGAGGCTGAAAGAGCCAAAGGATTTCCCTGAGATCACAGGGTGAACAGCAGGTCTAATGCCAGCCCTGGCCTCCTGGAGCCCAGCCTGAGGCTTTCCCACTGTTCTCTGCCTCATTGTGGGATGAGCACCTGAGTGAAATCTTCATGTGAGCTCAGAACATGAGAGAGCTTCAGGGTGTAGAAATGCTAGTTGGTCTAAATACCCGTTTCCTTCTTTCTCACATAATATTTCTGAGAGTTTTAGATGAGAAAATGGATTCTAATCTCAGTTTCCATTCCCGTTTGATGGCACCATGTGACCAGGTGGTAGCCAATGGGAGGTGAGCACAAGCGATGTAACCAATTTTAGGTTGTGCCTTTCCTTCCCCTCTTCTCCTCTGGATGGAATGCAGATGAGTCTGGGAGCCCTGCATGAGAATGAAGTCACCTCTCTAGGGCTGGGGAGCAGTGATTTGAAACAGCACAGGTGTCTGATGCCTTGAAATCACTAGTCAAGTTCTAGTAACCTTTCATACATTACTTTTTAGGGCTACCAAAATCATAAATTTAAATTCTTAAAAATATTTGTATTTGTATAACCACCTTTTAAAATAATGTACATTTCATCCTTACGGCATTTATGATGAGAGATATTATTTTTAAGACATGACACCCAGTAGGGGGGTACCAACAGATCAAATAAATGAGATATAATAACAATTTGATCTAATCACGGTGAGAGAGGAAAAAGTTCCAGAAAAAGGAACTATGAAGGGGCTATTAGAAAAATGAATTCTCTTCATTTGACGTCAAATTTCATTTCCAGCTTCTCTACCCTCTGCTGCATCCTGGGAGGACACATCTCTTTGTCTCACCACTGGGCTCCCTTTCACTCTGGCTCTTGGTTTCTCTCAGAAAAGGGTGACACCAACAGCTGATTGGAGGGCAGGAGGAGGGTCATTGTTCTTTTACTAGTAACTCCCTGCCTCTCTGCTGTCAGGCTGTGAGTTTGCCATGGTGATGTTACTCTACCTAAGCAGAAAGCTTCTGTGTGTAAGCCTTTTATATTGGACATAGTGACGACCGCTGCTACATCCACAGCCCTCCCTGTGTTCTGGCAACTTACCTTTCCCTTACACTTCAGGATTGGCAAGGGCAATAGCTCCCTATTATGACTAATCTTTAGGTGTCTCATCCCTTTCACCCTTTCTACAGAGTCTTTTTATTAAACTCTCTGCATTTGCCCTATTGGTTTGTGCCTTGTGTTTTTGCCTGGGATAAGAAAGATACAAACATATAATAAACAAACTGGTAGAACAGCAAGATAACTTGAGAAATATGAGGTTATTAACAACAATTCATGTTTGAAAAGAATGTATGTGAGGCAGAAAGGACCTGGGTCCCTCACAGTCTAAGCTACCAGCACCCATAGCTTCCCTGGGGGAGCTTCAGGTGTCTGGACTCTCCTTCATGGGAGCCCATGGCTCCTTGCATGCTCCACCCTAAGGTGCAGACATGACCATGTGGACTAAGAGGGAGAAAACAAACTGCCTTTGAGAGAAGATAGTCCTGAGCCGACTCTTACCTGAGCACCATCTTCTAGTTGAAGGTGGTGAGTAGAAGAAGAGGAGCTTTCCAGGGAGTGCTGACCACCAGAGAATGCTCTCCTACCCCTGGATAGGAGGTGTCTGCAGGAGCAGGGAGTGGAACCTGATGACCAAGAGAGGCTTATCAAGATGCTGGGCAGCCCTGGTGACTTCCTGCCCAAGGGGCACTGGCAAATGAGCTTCTGGAGATGTGAGACAAGGGCCTCACGAGATGCTTCTCATTTGCCCTGAGTTCAATGACTTATCTCTTCCTCTGTCCATTTTACCCCATCTGGTCCTCCTCCCCTGAGGAATGTCTGAACTGGATCCAGTCACTGCCATAGTGAGCCTGTGCAGGAAGCCGACCCACAAAGCAATGTGAGCTTCCATAGCTAAAGAAGAGTTTGCTTGGCATTTAGGGCCCTTCATGGCCTGGCTCATCTGATCTGTTTCCACTTACTTCCAGAAGTAATATTTGCATAATACTTTATTTCACAGGACATAATAGTGTGTAAAATAAAAAGAAAAGTCCTTCCTAATCTCATTTTTCTCTAGTAACCAATGTTTCCATTATAACTCTTTTACAAGATATTTTATAGCTTTTCATTATAAAACTATATTTCTCTTTTTGATTTATCAACATCAACAACCATGTGTATTGTGTTTCTTTTTAAAAGATAAGGAATTTAGTAGAAAAAAATTGCATGGGAGTAAGTGGAAGCTACACTGACATGCTCCCAGGACCAAACTGGAATTACAACTAAAATGAAAAAACAATACCCCGAATAATCAAGTGAAGACTAGATGGGGAGATCCCTGATAACCAAGGATGGAAAATGGAGACTGCATAGAGACTGGTAAAAAGGGCAGAGTCAGGAACGGGCAGGCCAGGCTCCAACAGACAGAAGCTGAATTTCTGGAAAGATATCTCAGCTGTGGGGTGTTGCCACTGAGAACTCCCCCAAGCTGGGCCCCCCAGCAGAGAGGACCACAACTGAGAAAGATGCTCACATAACATCTGGCTGTGTAAAGCGGCAGGGCTGCTGTCTGCCAGGGAGAGATGACTGGAAATGCAGGCAACCTCTTAAAGGGACAATGCACAAAATTTTGTTTGTAGCCATTCACCTTGTGCTCTAGCAGAGGGAGGGCAGAGTGTACTGGAGCTGTGTGAGTAGAATCCAGGGTTAGGGATTTTGGGTTTAGAGCTTGGAAGGCAGACACCCTGTTTCCTGTGTTGAGGGAGTCATTTCCTCACACTGCAGAGGTCATCTCTCTCAGGCAGACCTTTACTATAGGTAGTTATTGCCTGGCTGGAAAGACAGTTGACCCACCCTACTGGAAAACCCTTCACCCCATGGTGTGGAGTTTCTGAGGCCCATTAAGAGACTGAGAATAGCAATTAGCCTCTAGGTAGAAGCACTGACGGAAAACCACTCACCACTCTGTGGTAATTGCCTGAGAGCTACTCAAGACTTAATCCAATTAGTGTGCAGGCAGAGGCAGGTCTCTGGAGGCTTTGAGTCTTGGCCTGATCTAATTAGTCAGAAACAACCTTTGGCACTGTCCTGCACTAGTGATTGGGAGGCATAGCAGATTTACCTACTACATAGGCACAAATCCTAACAGGCAGCCAAAATGGGGAAACAAATACCAGCTCTCAAATGAAAGAAGAAGGGAATTCTCCAGAAGAAGAGATAAATGAAATGGAGAAATTTATAAATGAAATTAAGAAATTTATCTGATATAGAATTCAGAATAATGATGGTAAACATGCTCATCAGCAGGAAAAAACATATAGCAACTGTGAAAAAAGAACAGTCAGAAATAAAGAATGACATACACAAATAAAGAACACATTGGAAGGAATACACAGCAGATTAGGGGCAGCTGAGGAACCAAACATATAAGGAAGTCATACAACATAGCAAACGGAAGACAAACAATCCAATGAAAAAAATTGGCAAAGGACCTAAATAGAAACATTTCCAAAGTGGACATACAGGTGGCCAAGAGACATATGAAAAAATGCTCAAAGTCACTGATCATAAAAGAGATGCAAATTAAAATGACAATGATGTATCGCTTCATATCTGTCAGAATGGCTACCATCAACAAAGCAAAAAATGACAAGTGCTAGCAAGGATTTGGAGAACACGGCTGGTGGGAATGCCGACTGCAGCAGCCATTATGGAAAACAGTATGTAGTTTCCTCAATAAATTAAATATGGAATTTCCATTTGACCTAGTGATCCCACTTTTAGGAATATATCTTAAGAAACCCAAAACACCAATCAGAAAGAATGCATGCACCCCTATGTTCATAACAGCACAATTTATAATAGCTAAGATGTGGAAATAGCCAGAGTGTCCATCAGTAGATGAGTGGATGAAAAAGCTGTGGTACATTTATACCATGGTATACTATGCAGCAGTAAAATAGAAGAATCTCTTACCCTTTGAGACAGCATGGAGGAACCTGTAGAGTATCATGCTATGTGAAATAATTCAGTCAGAGAAAGACATGTATCATATAATTGCACTCAAAATGTGGAATCTAAGTAACAAAATAAACTGATGATGAGTGTGTCCAGAGACATGGAATCATGGAACAGAGTGTAGAATCTCTGAGGGAAGGCAGGGGAAGGTGTGTGGATGGGAAGTAATCAACCAAAGACCTTGTATGCCTAAGTCAGTGGTCGGCAAACTCATTAGTCAACAGAGCCAAATATCAACAGTACAACGATTGAAATTTCTTTTGAGAGCCAAATTTTTTAAACTTAAACTATATAGGTAGGTACGTTGGTATTAACTTAATTAGGGTACTCCTGAACTGGCCTTTGCTAAAAACGTCCTTAATCTGAGGGGTCGACCTCAGCAAACGTACCCCCACTTCTTCTAATGCCACTTCTTTAAAATAGACTCGCCCAGGCCGAAAACCGACTTCTGCTCATGGGCCACAAAGTTTCAATCGCACTGTACGTGTGCGCCTACACGTGGTATTTTGTGGAAGAGCCACACTCAAGGGGCCAAAGAGCAGCATGTGGCTCGCGAGCTGCGGTTTGCTGACCACTGGCCTAACCCATAGACAAAGACAATAAGGTGGTGAAGGTCTTGGGGGGGCGGGGGGCGGTCGGAGGTGGGAGCTGCTGGACAGGGTGAATGGGGGAAAAGAGGGAACATTTGTAATACTTTCAACAATACAACTAAAAAAAATGTGTCCATACAAATGCATCAATTTCAATAAATTTGCCACATTAATGGAAGATGTTAGTAATAAGATAAACTGAGTGGGGAATTAGGAATGGGGGGGAGGGTTATAGAAATTTTCTGTACTTTCTGTACTATTTTTCTAAAATGTGCTTTAAATTTTAAAGTCTATTAAAATGAATAAGCAAACCAGCAACTGAATAAATATTTACAATGCACATAACTAACCAAAGCCCCATTCGACATATATCAAATCTCCTACAAATAAATAATGAAAAAGGGCAACACTTAATAAAAATTGGCAAAACTGAAAAAACACTTTAAGAAATACAAGTAACCAATAAGCTCATGAAAGGATGCTCATGCTTGCAAAGGTTGGAAAATGGTGAAAACAATGTACTTAAAGAGAGTGACTCAAATCTGGCAATGGGGATTTAGCAGAGACTTGACTTGAAAATCACCATATGTTCATTCATTAATTCACTTATTCAATCCACATTTATTATGCTAAAGAGCTAGTCCAAGGACTGCCAAAGTCATCAAGGACTGCTCACTGGGGCTTGCTTGAACTTTAATTCACTTAATTTACAGAGACATTGTAGGAGAATGACCACAAAAACTTGTCAAAAATGTAATGTTCATGCAGTTTCTATCAAGTTCAGTGATGAAAGAAATTTAGACTTTTCCTGCACTTCACTCATCTTCTGCTGTAGGTGGGATTCTTCAAATGTGAGAGCAGTCCTGGACCCCAGAGATGGCAAAGGTCCCGTGGGGATGGGGTGAAGGCCCTGGTTAAGGCAGTCCTGGGACATTGCACTCTGTGTTTCTTTCTTTTTTAAAAAAATATATTTTATTGATTTTTTACAGAGAAGGAAGGGAGAGGGATAGAGAGTTAGAAACATCGATGAGAAACATCGATCTGCTGCCTCCTGCACATCTCCCTACTGGGATGTGCCTGAAACCAAGGTACATGCCCTTAACTGGAATTGAACCTGGGACCCTTGAGGTCTATCCACTGAGTCAAACCAGTTAGGGCACACTCTGTGTTTCTTTAACAGGCACTGGCTCACTTTATCCTCAGGAGCTGGATTATTATGTTAATTGTTTTAATTCCAGAGCCCAGAGATCAAACATGTTAAGAAAACCAACCAAATGAGATGGACAAAGCTGGCTTTCAAAGTCACATCTGTCTGAACAAAGCAAAACTCTGAATCAGGACACCAGACTTCCCGACATGGCCAGGGTTCCCCCAGAAAGGCTTTCTCCAGGTTCAGCCACCTCAGGAGTGTCCTGTAGAGCCCTCTGGAGAACCAGCCTCAGGGTGTGTCTCCGCTTCCACCATCGCTGCCTGAAGGAGCCAACAAAGAAGTAAATGATCGGGTTGGCACAGCTATTGACACAGGACAGGAGAACTGCCGCCAAGAAATGAGGAACGAAGGCATCCGAATATTTTTGAAACCAGATTAAGAGGAACCAGATGATGCCGTAGGGTAGTCCACAGAGGAAGAAGACCAGCACCGTGAGCACCACGGTGGCATAGAGCCTTGTCAAGGGAACCCGGTTGGAGCCACAAAGCAGTCTGGTCATCAGGGCCAGGCTGGACCCAGTGAGAAGCACAAATAACAAAGTCAGCCATGCCACAGTGATGAAATCCAACACTGGGCACCAAACATGATGCATGTTCCTCACCAGGAAGCCACAGTAGTTCCCTTCCAGGATGCTCAGCAGCAGGGACAGGGCCCACAGCAGGGCACACATGCCCGCTGACCGGTGTCTGGGGCGGCGGCAGCGGTACCAGATGGGCCACAGGACAGACAGGCAGCGCTCCGTGCTGATGGCACTGAGAAAGCTCAGGCCTGAGATGTAGGCAAACACAGACACAGTAATGAAAAAGTGCGGGATGGATATGGAGATGAGAAAGAAGTATCTGATGAGTGTCTCTAGGGCATCTATAATATAACAGCAGAGTAAGAGGAAGTCAGCTCCAGCCAGGTTAAGGATGTACACGGAGAAAGCGTTCCTGGGCATGCGGAAGCCCAGGAGCCAGAGCACCACCGAGTTCTCTGCCAGCCCCACCAGGGCCATGATGGCTGTCAGTAATTGCAGGATTAGGAACTCCGTTTTGACAGTTTGTT